TTTTTTTTAAGAGTTTTGATCCCGCTTGTACACAAAGAATTACAGTAGTCTAAATTTCAATAAATGAATCATTAAGTAAACTTTAGACAACATGTATATAAAGTAATGTATAAGACATAAATAAAAAATTTTCTCCGTTTATCTCTCCTTTTATCGACAATTGTTAATTCATCCGCGATAAAAATGCGTGTAATTGCATTACTTTTGGAAATGGTAGTCCTTTCTCAAGCTCTCTGGAATTTCGGATACGCTATCACCTAACAATTTAGGGAATTTAGAGTCTTCAAACCATCCCAATTGCCAGCTTTCCAAAGCTTTTCTGGAGAACTATGTCCATCATATATAATCAAATGATATACAGAATGTTAATAATGATAAAAAAGAAAATGAGGATGGAAATTTTCAGTGCCCCCCCCCCCCCACAAACATTCACACAGAGTATGCAGTATGGTCAAATTAATCTTTCACAGTTAATGTATCCGTAATTATTTTTGTGGAAAAGAGGAACTCAAAACTTAATATCCATACCCCCCCCCCCCCCCACAAACATACATACCCAGTAATAGGTTTTTTTTTGGAGTTTTATTAATTTCTACACCTTTTTATTGTCAAAGTTTTGCTAAGGTGACTTGTCATTTTTTGGTTTCTTTTTGGTTTCTCCCTGCCTCGGCCCAGCTTCCCCCTTCTCCACTTTGTTAATCAATTTTAAGTGTCTGCTTGATGTATACAAACTTATACTCATCTAGAATGTTTGATCTCTGACACCTCGTACAGTTAAACTTTGTTAACTCAAATCCTTGGATATATCGAAGTTTTAATTGGTCCAATCAAGTTGCAAGAGATAAAGAGCGTTGACTGTATGCATTATGGGGAATATGTCTTTTACTGGTAAAGGTTACTTCGAGAATGAAACAATAATATATCCTGATATTGTGTGTGTGTGTGTGTATGAGAGAGAGAGAGAGAGAGAGAGAGAGAGAGAGAGAGAGAAGGGGGAAGTCCCTTTTTAACCTTTTTTAAATTTTTAAACAATTTAATAAAAATATACATACTTTTTTACTAATTTCAGTTTTTTTTTAAAATCCTTCCATAAAATGGTAGGTGTGAACAGCAACTTGATACGTTTTATTAGAAATATTACTATATATCTTATTTTCCAATGAATGAGGTTAAAATCAAACAAGAAACGATGGAAATGGTACCCACGGTTAAATCATCGGGATCGAGATGCCTCTCATACCTCGATACGTATACGGATACGGATACGTATACGGATACGTCAGAAAGAACAATCTCTAATACAAGTCTTAACTTACCTTTCATTTTTAAACCAATCAAAAGTACTCACACTGTGGTCATCCTATTTTTATCATAACAAAAAAAAGCACGTGGTAAATAATGGTCGACTTTAGCAGTAAAAATATCGAAAAACTCGTTGTTTTATGGGAAGAAGATCAAAAGGAGTGACTACATGTAATTGTAAAAGTTGCTCAAATGCTGCATTATCTATTCTAAAGAAGTTTTTATAACTATTGGGTTCTTCTCTTTGCACCTCATCTAGCGATGCATTGTGTGTACCAAGTACATATACGAGTGTTCCGCCGCTGTTTCCATTACAGTGGGTTTTTTTTTTCAGTTTTAATGCAATGCATAATACGATAACAGATACTGCTAACAGAACCTCGTTTTCCATTATTGAGAGAGAGAGAGAGAGAGAGAGAGAGAGAGAGAGATAAATATTGCAAGGGAAACACGTAGAAATCCCTAAAGTCTATTAACAATCTAATAAAACGTATAAACGTGTGTACAGGAAAGTATTATAATACAAATATAATACTTGTATTATACAGTAACTACAAATCTCAACGTTTGTACCGGCCTGAACAACTTCAAAATAATGAAGAATTTTGCGAAAATTTTATTAGGGTCTTAAAGTTTATCTTGTCTTCACTAAATTGTGTTTTTCGTTTAGTATTTTGAAGGAAATTCTGGTATTGCCAGTGCAAATCAAGTGCACGATTAGTATGTAGCTGTGTTAGCTTATGTCGCTTCTGTATTATGGTCCGCAGGCATCTACAGACACATCCCTAAACACTAGTATCATACCTGACAATATTTGGATTGCCGAAATGAAAGAAATATTGAAGACATAAGCGAGTGATTATCGATATACATGTAGTAACGTTGTAGGATTTTCGTTGACCATGTTTTTTTAATCTGAAATATACTTGTTCCGTCAATAAAATGTTAATTTAAATTACAGATAGTTTGTATTTCTTGGAGTTTTCATGTTAACCTAGCGATTTAAATTTTAAGTTAAAATTTTATATTTCATTTCCGAATGTTATTTATCTATACATGCATATAATAAAATATGTATCACCGTGAGTACTACATACATGTATAATTTGTTTCACTACACGTTTGTATTACTCTACGTACTACATGTACAATGAATTACGATTAAATTTAGTGTGACATCGAAGTAATGTAAATGTGAATCTTTCTTAAAACATACATTCATTCTTTGAATTGAAAAGCATTCAGCATATAAAACGAAAAATGATAAAGCTAAAGAAAAAAGAGGGGGCATTTTTTATCATAAACGAAAACTTAAGATTGATCTAATTCGGTGCTAGGCATCAAACATATGGATACGAATCATAAAATGATCAATATGAATGGCCATGAATCATTTATATTTGTGTGAATCATGAAACTACACAATCTTTCTCTCGTCCATTTAAATTCATACTGTAGAATCAATCTGGAAATAATGTGCAAATGTTTACATTCCACTTCCATGCGATTTAAATATCTCCGCCCATTTGCGGGTACCTTAAATTCGAAAGTGGTCCAGTTCAAATTTCCGGAATTTAAGGCCTATACATGTTCTTTCCAATGACGTTGTGTGGAATTATAGCAATATGTTTAACAAAATATTCGAAGTATAAATATCAAAAGCATATGTATGCACAATAATCATAGATTAATTTAGCAATATAGTCTAATTTAAGGCTTAAAATGGGTGGCCGAAAAGGCTCGAAATGACACTCTAAAGTGCACTCATTCTTTTTTGGGAAGTTGTTGCTCCCCCCCCCCCCCCCTCAATTTTTGGTCAGTTATTTTTTTATTGGAAAGTTGGCTCTCCCACTTTTGAAACCGTTGCCACGGACCTGTTTTATGCTCCTGAATCCACCTATGGTATTTCCAAAGGTCCGTGTGTTATTATTATAGGTATTACAAAAACACTACAAAACGTACAACACAGGTAGCGACCGTTCCTTCGCCAAGCGCCCGGCATGAGAAGTGAAAATCACGGATCTTTTGGATATGACCTTGAAAACGTAGGTCCCGTGTCGGGGTGGATCTAGAGACCCCTGAAATTTTCAGTTATTAAACATCTATTTAAAAGTAACGATAAAATAAACATGGACACCCCTCCCCCCCCCCCAAAATAAATTTAAAAAAACACAGGCCCTTCTTGAAACGGTAAAGAGAGTGATGTATTTGAAGAAAGTTGACCTACGAAAATGTAATCTCTTAACATACCCACAAAGAAATAGGTATTTCAGTTTGATCAATTTTTTTCCTTGTCCAAAAAATTTCCGAGTCTGTCATGTGGACCACCTGGAAAAAAAAGCCTGGACCCGTCCATGCATGTCATTGTGTGCGTTGACATGTGTGGCAGTCAGACGGGTTCGAACGCCGGTGGCCAGATAGCTCAGTTGGTAGAGCACCTGACTGGAGATTCAGGGGGCTGGGTTCGAATCTCGGTCTGATCCGTCGCAATTTTCTCCTCTCTTGAAATATTTGGTGCTGTGCCATGCCCTGGAAGTGACAGGTGAAAGACTTGCCAGGGTAGAGCCTGGGTTGGTGTCTTCGGGGGCCGAAGACCTTTAAGGGGGAGGAATGTAGCGGTCATACGGTTTCAATCCCCGGTGGCCAGATAGCTCATTTGGTAGAGCACCTGACTGGAGAACAGGGACCCGGGTTCGAATCTCGGTCTGATCTGTCGCATTTTTCTCCTCTCCAGTTGTTACACGTGAAAAGGAATCCTCACTGCTCAATCGCCCTAAGTGCCGAATAAAGGCCTAAATTTGAAGCCTTTCACCGCTATTTGGTGACATCTCATATGAGTGAAAAATTCTTGCAAAGGACGTAAAACAACAAAAATATCAATCAATAAGGAATACATTTGTAAATACTTACTCAAAATCTGTCTCGCATACAAATCTGAAAACGTGTCCACAGGCTTCATCAGCCCATTTACCATGGTCATGGGCCCATAATGCAACACAATTTGCATTTGTATGCTGATCTGGCTGACCCGGAGAAAAGTCATTCACAGTGATGGGTTTCTGGTTAGAAGAATAAATCCAGTGATCTTCCTCTATCAAGTCAGAGATCCCGATCCAATAAAAATTGGCATCATCTGAAATTACGTCGTATGTGTACCTAACTTATCAGATTCTCATTTAATATTTCGGAATTATCTAAATTTTGTATTGTGAAATGCACTATATCATACATCAAAAAATTAATTGTAATTATCTGAGATTAGAAATATAACTCATTCACCAAATGGCATTCGACCAAACTATCAGATCAACTTTAATAAATAATGATTCAAGGCGTTATGAACACTTTCCTCTTTAAAAAAAAAATTCAAGATCTGATGTAAACTCACGAAGACTTTGAAAATGACTAATGAGATAGGCAGACTCAGCATGAGTCCTCGGTTCTGCCAATTTGGAGTGAAAACCTAAACATATGGCCTGCAAAATATTTAACATCAGAAGGAAGTGCAACATTAATATATATTTGCAATGACAACATATACAACCCATTTTGTAAGCTTTGTCGTAATTCATATTATTCTAAACTGCATGCATGATAAAGAAGCAAATTTAATCAGCATCTACAAAACATTTTAAAGTAATTAATCAATAATTATTATATATTTTTAATAAAGCTTTATCAATGTATGTATGTCATACCTCAGCCTCTCCCCATGGTCTTGCAGTATGGCTGAACCAGTAGCATTTATTCTGAAACTGATTCCAACCCGGCTGACAACCTATGCCTAAAAATAACGTATAAATTAAAAGCTTGATTCCAAATGAAAATAATGCAAGACATAATCTTATTTATTTATCATATTCCTTGGCCTAGCTTTGATTCTTCAGATTTCCTGAATCGCAAAAACGTTTATATTCAGGAAAATGACGTTTTACCAAAATTCAGCATTCATGTGTCATGAAGTAGATTTTAGGAATGACTCTAATTCTTGGCCAAATTATTCGAGTATAACCTGGTTTGGGTCAGTTTACGCTTTATAATCCGCGAAGCGGATTATAAAACAGCTTAAACTGACCCAAACCAGGTTATACTCGAATAATTTGGCCAAGAATTAGAGTCATTCCTTATAATTTAATTTTAAAATCATTAAATAACTATGGGTGTAAAATTTCGTTGCTTTTTATTAGTTCAAATTTGCCGCTCAATAATACAACCGTAGTAACGGAAGTAACGGAAGTGATGGGAAGCAAGGGGAGGTAAAAACTGATACATAGGCCTAGCAGCTTGTTTACATGTGGTAAGATCGAATTATTGTTTGAAGTTAAAGGTATATTTATTAAATCTGGAATTTTCCATGAATCCCGAGGACTGGAAATGAGAGGATTGTATGCATACAGATGATTCAGCTGGTTGTCAGGGGGGTGTGTCCCCATACCAAACCAGGTTATACAGAAATAATTTGTGTTCCTTTTTGGATATTAACCAATCAGAGGCTAGAATACAAACAAAATTAAATTATAAAAAGATAAAGATTAATGAATACATTTTGTAAGGTTAAGGATCATAGGGAAAAAAAGATAAGTCAAGATAAGTCAACGTCTCCAGACATAAGCAATTTTTACCATCAAAAAGACTAACGTTTAATGAAGAACAAGATGTGTTTGTGAAACATTTATGTCCCGTATGGCAGCTCATGGCCAAGGTGAGAGTTTTTCAAAGTATTTAAAATGTCAAGGTCAAGAATGTTGATACCTAAAGTCCTAGCTCCAACCGTTCAAAAGATATGGACAAGGTCAAGTGTTATAAAATCCATGACCAGAATTAAAGTTTTTCAAAAGTAGGTCAAACCCCAAGGTTATGAGGTTAAAAAAGAGGTACCCAAAGAAAGTCTTGTCACAAAGAATACACCCGTAAAATATGAAAACCCTAGCACTAACCCTTAAAAAAATATATTCCGGTTAGTTTTTTTTTAGTTTTCAAAAGTAGGTCAAACCTCAAGGTCAACGCTATGCGGTCAAAAATGTTGATATCCAAAAAGAGGTCTTGAGACATCGTATAAACGTTAAAATACGATAGTTCTACGCACCAACCGTTCAAAAGTTATGGCCAAGGATAAAGTTTATTTAAGTAGGTCAAACTCCAAGGTCAAGGTCATGAGATCAAAAATGTTGGCACCTTAAGAAAAGTTTTGTCATCGGGAAAATTCGAATGTGAAACAAAAGAACCATAGAACCAAATTTTATGGCCATTTATTGCCCAGACCACGGGATGAAGTTCTAGAGTGATACCACCATAGCATAGAGGTTATGAATAAATTATTAACGGTAATATACAAAGCCTTTCCTTATCATTCAGACATACTCTCAGACAGTAAGGATACTTTATATAATTCTCAGTAAAAATGTCCACTTCCATAGCATTTCAAAGTCACTATAATGGACCTGTCCGCGATGTATTACATAGTCTGTATTTCATAAAATATTACTCATTTGTGTTAAAGTATCAAAAGGTGTTACTCGGCGTTTTCAAAAATCCTTGGGAAAGATACTTTTGGTGTTCAAATTGTTTAAGGACACTCGTGTAAATTATTTCTAATATATATTATTTCTTAATTTACCAAATACAAGTCGTAGACTAATATTTCACTCTGTTATTTTCATTCTAAAATTTTGAAAACATTAGCTCAGATGTGATATGAATTTATATACTAGTAGTTGGTTGATTTTACTCACAATTAACTCCTCCAAAACCACAAAGTACAAGGGCAATCACTAAAATACAATTGAATTGCATGGTGATAAAATGTGGAAAACGAAAAGAGTTTAATATATAACTACATTACCATTTATATGATAAGATTGTGTAGGGAAAATCGTACCTGTGACGTGCATGCAATAATCGATTTGTGTTCAAAATGATAAGAAAGCAATAATTGTCATTCTCCTTCGTACAATGTTTCTTAAACATTATTAAACTAAAAATATGTCCATAGGACATATTTACACACGGCCCAATGGCAGGCACACTTGAATTGCAACATTAAAATGTTACTTTTTTTCCGGTGAAAAAAATAATGGGTAAAAAAGGACATAAAAATAATATAACAAATAGGCAATAAGTACCCATGGGAATTCCAACAGATTGTTGGAAGACGATCTCCAAAAACATGCACATAGATAATGTCAATCAGAAACTCCATCTTCATTTTAATATCAACTTCGTAGTACTTGTGTGTACAAATAATTTCGTTAAAATGGGACAAAAAACAAGTTATCAATATAAAGAGACATCCAAAAATCTGCTTATTGTCTACAAAAAAGGCCGGAAAAAAGTGAATTATTAGAAATTTTCAAAGTCCAGGGGCCATTACTTTTGTAACAAGAGGCCCAAGGGCCTTGAATCGCTCTTCTGATAAACTGTACAACCTATCACTTCTATTTGAAGCCTCTAAGTATCCTGTATATTTAGATAAAGCCTTGAAATTCCAAAAGTAGGTCATCATGACCTACATTTTAGATAAACACTCTGAGAACCCAGGATGATTCCAAAAGTAGGTCATCATGACCTATATTTTAGATGAACACTCTGAGAACCCAGGATGATTCTAACCCAATTATTACCTGAGACTTGGTCATGGTGACCTACTTATCACTTGTCATTCTCTGAGGACCCAAGATGCATCACCTAAGTTTGATGATTCTAAGCCAATTAATACCTAAAATATTTTTAACATTATAACCATTAAATTTCAAAACTACGTCACAATGACCTACTTTTCAGATGACATACTTTGAGGACCCAAGATGCATCAACTGACAAAGTTTGATGATTCTTAGCCAATAAGTACCTGATATATTTAAATAACGCCCTAAATTTTCAAAAGTATGTCATGGTGACCTATTTTTCAGTTGTCATACTCCGAAGACCCAAGATTCATCAACTAACAAAGTTTGATGATTCTAAGCCAATTAGTACCCGAAATATTTAATTATAGTCATATAAATTGAAAAGTAGATCTCGGTGACCTACTTTTCAGTCGACCTACTCCGAAGACCCAAGATGCATCAACAGACAAATTTTGATGATTCTAAGCCAAATAGTACCGGAAAATATTAAATACAGCCATAAATTTCAAAAGTAGGTCAGAGTGACCTACTTTTCAGTTATTGTACTCCGAGGACCCGAGATGCATCAACTGACAAATTTTGATGATTCTAAGCTAAATAGTACCCGAAACATTTAATTAAAGCTATAGATTTTGAAAAGTAGGTCACAGTGACCTACTTTTCAGTCGACCTACTTCCAAGACCCAAGATGCATCAACTGACAAAGTTTGATGATTCTAAGCCAATTAGTACCCGAAATATTTCATTATAGTCATATAAATTGAAAAGTAGGTCATGGTGACCTAGTTTTCAGTTGATATTTTTTAGGACCCAAGATGCATCCACTTACTAAGTTTTATGATCATAGGTCTTAAAATGTCAAATTATGCCTCTAAGACGCTTTGAAATTGAATGCCTGCAAAGTTCAAAAAGTAGGTCACGGTGACCTACTTTTTAATAAATATGTTTTATGGCCCCAAGATGCATCATCTTACAAGATTTAATGATTCTAAAACTCTAAGTATTCGAATTAATGACCTTAATTGTTTTGGAAAAACATTAGTCATAAAATTCAAAAAGTAGGTCAATGTGACCTACTTTTTAGTCGACGTACTCCGAGGACCAAAGATACATCAACTGACAAAGTTTGATGATCATAGGCCTTAAATTGTTCAAAATATGCCTCTAAATCATATTGAAAAAGAATGGCCGCAAAATTTGAAAAGTAGGTCACCGTGACCTACTTTTGAGTCAACATGATATGAGGTTCTTAGATGCATCAACTGACAAGATTTGATGATCCTAGTCCTTATAGTAAGCAAAATATCAACATTTTAATACAAGAGGCCCAGGGGCCACATCGCTCACCTGAGCACTATGACTAGGAAAAAGCAGAAATCACTTCAATCTTGAAAGGTTGAAAAGTTTAAATATAAAAGTGGTTGGGGGGGGGGGGGGTCATGAATTGAACAAATTTGAATCTACATTATCTGAGGATGCTTCCATTTAAATATGACCAATCATGGCTTTGCTGTTCTTGAGTAGAAGATTTTTAAAGATTTAACCTATGTATTCCTATGTAAAACTTTGATCACCCATTGTGGCCCCACCCGACCCCCAGGGGTCATGTTTGAACAAACTTGAATGTACACTATCTAAGAATGCTTCCATATAAATATGACCAATCATGGCTTTGCTATTCTTAACAAATTGTTTTTTTTAAAAGATTTTACTATGTGTTCCAATGTAAAACTTTGATTGCCCATTGTGGCCCCACCCGACCCCCGGGGGTCATGATTCGAACAAATTTGTATGTACACTATCTGAGGATGCTACCATATAAATATGACCAAACATGGCTTTGCTATTCTTAACAAATTCTTTTTTTTTTTAGAATTTTTACTATGTGTTCCTATATAAAACTTTGATCGCCCATTGTGGCCCCACCCGACCCCCGCGGGTCATGATTTGAACAAATTTGAATGTACACTATCTGAGGATGCTACCATATAAATATGACCAATCATGGCTTTGCTGTTCTTGAGAAGAAGATTTTTACTATGTGTTCCTATGTAAAACTTTGATCGCCCATTGTGGCCCCACCCGACCCCCGGGGGTCATGAGTTGAATAAATTTGAATGTACACTATCTGAGGATACTTCCATGTAAATATGACCAATCATGGCTTTGCTGTTCTTGAGAAGAAGATTTTTAAAGATTTTTCCTATATATTCCTATGTAAAACTTTGATCGCCCATTGTGGTCCCACCCGACCCCCGGGGGTCATGAGTTGAACAAACTTGAATCTACACTACCTGAGGATGCTACCATATAAATATGACCAATCATGGCTTTGCTGTTCTTGAGAAGAAGATTTTTACTATGTGTTCCTATGTAAAACTTTGATCGCCCATTGTGGCCCCACCCGACCCCCGGGGGTCATGAGTTGAACAAACTTGAATCTACACTACCTGAGGATGCTACCATATAAATATGACCAATTATGGTTTTGCTGTTCTTGAGAAGAAGATTTTTAAAGATTTTTCCTGTATATTTCCTATGTAAAACTTTGATCGCCCATTGTGGTCCCACCCGACCCCCGGGGGTCATGAGTTGAACAAACTTGAATCTACACTACCTGAGGATGCTACCATATAAATATGACCAATCATGGCTTTGCTGTTCTTGAGAAGAAGATTTTTACTATGTGTTCCTATGTAAAACTTTGATCGCCCATTGTGGCCCCACCCGACCCCCGGGGGTCATGAGTTGAACAAACTTGAATCTACACTATCTGAGGATGCTACCATATAAATATGACCAATCATGGCTTTGCTGTTCTTGAGAAGAAGATTTTTAAAGATTTTTCCTATATATTCATATGTAAAACTTTGATCGCCCATTGTGGCCCCACCCGACCCCCGGGGGTCATGATTTGAACAAACTTGAATCTACACTACCTGAGGATGCTTCCAAGTAAATATGACCAATCATGGCTTTGCTGTTCTTGAGAAGAAGATTTTTGAAGATTTTTCCTATATATTCCTATATAAAACTTTGATCGCCCATTGTGGCCCCACCCGACCCCCGGGGGTCATGATTTGAACAAACTTGAATCTACACTATCTGAGGATGCTACCATATAAATATGACCAATTATGGTTTTGCTGTTCTTGAGAAGAAGATTTTTAAAGATTTTTCCTGTATATTTCCTATGTAAAACTTTGATCGCCCATTGCGGCCCCACCCTACCCCCGGGGGTCATGATTTGAACAAACTTGAATCTGCACTACCTGAGGATGCTTCCACATAAGTTTCATGTTTTCAAGCACAGTGGTTCTTGAGAAGAAGATTTTTTAATGATGCCATTAATTTTTCACGAATTCTTAATTATCTCCCCTTGGAAGAAGGCGTGGCCCTTCATTTGAACAAACTTGAATCCCCTTTACCCAAGGATACTTTGTGGCAAGTTTGGTTGAAATTGGCCCAGTGGTTCTTGAGAAGAAGTCGAAAATGTGAAAAGTTTACAGACGGACAGACGGACAGACAGACGGACAGACGGACAGACGGACAGACGGACTACAGACAAAATGTGATCAGAAAAGCTCACTTGAGCCTTCGGCTCAGGTGAGCTAAAAATGTAATTTTTGGTCAACTTTGAAGTGACCTTGAGACCACGCCCTTTGCCCCAGGGTGATGCCTTAAACAATTTTTAATCTTCAACATATCCTCATCCTTTTATGTAAGTTTGGTAATAATCTGCCCAGTGGTTCTTGAGAAGAAGATTTTTTAGCAACCAGTACTTTTGTTTCTATTTTCCTAATTATCTCCCCTTGTTTAAAGGTCACAACCCTAGTTTTAGTATAAATGGGAGGCCTTGGGCCAAGAATACCCTGTGAGAAATTTGACAATAATTGGCCTAGGGGTTCTTGAGTTATGGCCCATATTCTAAATGGTTTACGCCCACTGCACGCCGCACAAATGGCCATAGCATTAGCTCTTTGAGCCTTTGGCTCAGAAAAGCTAAAAAAAATCGGTCATTCAACGGGGAACTCGAGCTTGATCTGCAAGTCATCAATATCAACAGAAATACACTTAAGAGGCCCAAAATCGCTCTTCTGACAAATTGTAAAACCTATCACTTCTATTTTACGCCTCTTTAAATATCCTATGCATTTAGATAAAGCCTTGAAACTCCAAAAGTTATCGTGACTTCCTTTTTGGTTAACACACTCTGAGAACCCAAGATAAATCAACTGACAAGTTTTATGATTCTAAGCCAATTACATGAAGTATCTTAAATATTCAGATACAGTCATGAAATTTCAAAAGTAGGTCATCGTGACCTATTTTTTGATTAACTTACTTCGAGACTCCAAAATGCATCAACTGACAAAGTTTGATTATTCTAAACCTCTTATTATTTGAAATATTTAGATATTGCCTTAATATTCAAAAGGTAGATCACAGTGACCTACATTTTAGTTGACACATTCAGAGGTCCCAAGATGTATCAAATGACAAAGTTCGATGATTCTAAGCCACTTAGTATCTGAAATATTTGAATAAAGCCATGATATTCCAAAAGTAGGTCACAGTGACGTACTTTTTTGTTGAAATACTTCAAGGACCCAAGATGCATCAACTGACAAAGTTTGATGATTCTAAGCCTCTTAATATCTTAAGTATTTAGATACAGCTGTGAAATTCCAAAATAAGGTCACTGTGGTCCACGTTTTGGTTAACATACTCAGAGATCCCAAGATGCATCAACTGACAAAGTTTGATGATTCCAAGCATTTGAAATATTTAAATATAGCCATAAAATTTCAAACTGACAAGGTTTAATGATCATAGGTTTCAAAGTGTCCAAAATATGCTTCCTAAACAATTTGAAAATGAATACCTGCCAAAAAAAAAAATTAGGAAGTAGGTCACTGTGACCTACTTTTGATAAAAATGTTTTCAGGCCCCATGATGCATCGACTTACAAGGTTTTTTTTTATTTTAAACCTCACAGTATCCAAATCTAGAAATATGTCCATAGGACATAACGAACAGTATTCGTTTTGGTATCATTATTCTGAATGGTTTCTTTAAAACTGAGCTTAACACTACTTTAAAAAAAGTGCGGTCAAAGGGAAAGGTTAAGGTAAAAAAATGCTGATGCAGTTGAATAGCTGTATTAGCATATGAAGTTTGATAAAAATATCTTGAAAAGTGTCTTTGAAACTTAGCTTTGATCTGAGCTATACCACAAAGTGGGGTGAAGTGGGGTGAAGGGACAGATGGAAGACGGACATGACAATCTCTATATGCCCTGGCCATATTAATGGCGGGGCATAATAATGACCTTAAATGTTTTGAAAAACGATTATCTACAAAATTCAGAAAGTAGGTCAAGGTGACCTAATAGGTCATAGTAACACATAACCTTGACCTTTAGCCTATATCTCAAGAATATCTTGAACCTTTAACTTAATAAGTCTCATGAATTTTTGTGGTAAGGCTTTGATTTTTAGCATTGATATGTCTATAACCTCATGATACTTTCTTTCAAACTGTTTTACTTACAACTGTCATCGCCCGCGTGGCGCAGTGGTTAGAGCGTCTGCTCTAGAGTCGCATAGTAAGGAGTTGATCCTTACGTCACGGGTTCGAATCCCACTGTGGGACGTGGAGACCAGTTCTTTGGATGAGACCGTATAAACCGAGGTCCCGTGTCACAGTAGTTGCTGGCATGAAAAAGATCCCTCACTGCTCTATGGCCGTGAGTGCCGAGCATAGGACAAAATTTGCAGCTCTCCACCGGCAAGTGGTGGCGTCTCCATATGAGTGAAAAATTCTTGAGAGGGACGTTAAAAAACATACAAACAAACAAACTTACAACTGTCTGTAAGTAATCAGCGCTTCACTCGGTTTTTTCTGTCAACCAAGATAAAAACTTACGCTACTTAACAGAAAAGGCTGAGTAAAGTTCTCACTTGACGGAAAAGGCTGTGGTGATATTCCGATTGTTCCATTCTAGTTGTCTGAAAATAAAATGAGTATATTGTCTTGACATAGTGAATCTTGTGGATTGCTGAATTAAACTCATATGAATAAATAATAATTTATTATAATATTTCTTTCATTTGACAGAAAAGGCCAATGATGTTCTCGACTTGATGGAAAAGGCCGTGAGATGTTAGTGGGCCGAAAATAAATCGGGATTTGTAGACCAACTTGGGCTTGTGAATCTGAGGGATTGTTGAAATAAATATTTTTGTTGCTAGTATTTGAATTTCTATTGATTGTAACTTTTATGATAAATATGATGAATTGCAGTCTTGCTATCCTTGGATTTTTTTTTTTTGCTTGAACTATACAATTAGTATATCTAAAAAAAACACCCTTTAGTTTTATTTTTGTCTGTAAAGATCAATAATAAACTCTTGTTATATAAATCAGCAATATATCTCATAGATTTATATTCATATAAATAACCTGAATAATGTTTGCCAGGATAAAAATTTTTGTAAGATTTTGTAATAATTTTTTAAAAATGTGGGCAAATTTTTGTATAGGTTGACACAGAAAACGGCACAAACTTGCATATTTAAGCACCACAAAAACTTATATCTTTATATTTTAGGGCTTTATTATTAAGGTTACTTCTATTCAAAATCAATCAAAAAATATATATCAATCCATGCATCAAATTTTTGTTTGTGTTATGAACATGTATCCTGCATTATGCATTAGCAGGCATCACATGCAATCCTTGAAACACTAATTTTGTTTATGGAACAACCCATTGCAGATTAAGCTCAGTTTTTGAAAATTAAAAAAATCTCAACTACAATAAGCAAATCAAAACTGAATAGCTTTTTAATTCTTACATTTTACAGTCTTCAGAACTTTTTTATGCACACCTTTTTACATTTAGTCAGGGAAAAGATGGAAGTGCAAAAAGTTCATTCTTAACAAAGAAACAAAAAAAAGGCCACAACTTGTCTCTATTTAGGTTGTCCTTTATATGGTAAACTTTTGTCAAAACTTGAATGGCTTCACTGGTTACATTAAAATGTTTTGGAATCTGCTTATATACACCATAACCTGATGAATGGACACCATCATCATCATCATTATTCCCAAATAAAGAACACTCTTCAACTTTGTCTGTAACTGTGTTGAATTTTAACACAGTATTAAGATTGTCCATCCCTATAAAAAGAACTTCATTGTCTGGAATCATCCAAACTCTTCTGGCATCAAACACCACGTCTCCTAGAGTACAGAGTATAGAGTGACATGTCCACTGGTCAGATTCTAGGTTGTATGACAGAAGGGAAGACAGGGAGTCATTCTTGATGACGAATATATGGTTATCACACTGACAGGCCGTGATGTTGACCATCCTCTCTGGTAAGGATGCTAACTCGTGCCACTCTTCTGTAAAGAATTAACTATTCATTAAAACACGGAGTGAAAAACATGCACAAAAATCTGGAATGTCCTATATGAAATTTTCACTTGAGAATAGAAATGCTCATAAATTTTTTTATGCAAGTTTGCTTGGTCAATGTTGGGCTTTAGTTACTTGGAAATATGTGGTACCTGCTTTAACCTGGACCACTATTGTAGAAAATACAGGACACACACACCACTTTAAGTACCATGCATAAAGTGCTGGCAGTATGCATCTCCTATGGAGAATATATGCATGTTCCTTTAATGTAGGATTTGAAATAATGGAGATTGTTTGCAGCATCAATTTTATAGTTTTCCATTATTACTGACACCATCTATACAAGTTAAGTCAATGTATGACTCTCTATCCACTTGAGAAATAATCTGCTATATTAAAATTGTATGTAACTTGTAGAATCTAAGCATGATTCATGATCCTTGCAAGTTTGTTTTCTTACAATTAATGGATCTCTCAAAGACTTTATCCTATTCAATCATCTATAAAATTTTGGTTACTTATATAAGATTTACATGTACATTTATAGTACAAATCCTTACAGCATAGTGCTTTCATGGTTTAAAACCTTTTCACAATATGAATGTACTTTCTTGGGATGCAGCAGAGTCCACTATCCCCCTTGCTTTGGTCTAAATTCTACATTACTGTAATTCTACATTTCTGAAAGGTTGGCTTTATGCACACATTTAACCCTGTATTGTCATATCTGGTAGAAATGAAGAGCTAGATGTACATGTTTTGAATAAAAATTCCAGACTGTGCCAATGCCTATTTTTTGTCTTTTGTTTAATTCCAAGACTAAGAAGTATTTATAATCCTTTTGTTAATTAAATCAAACTATCATGGGTATTTGGTGCCAAATTTGGTTTAAAACTGAAAATTAACATGTAGTTTTAAATTAAGTGAGAGGATGGAATGCATGAATGGAGAATGGAGAGAATGAAAAGTTAGAAGACATGAAAAGACAGGTAATAAACTGTGATCAGTATAATATAAATATGTTTTACAGATAAAATGTAATATTACCAGTCTGATGATTCCATTTTTCAACTGAGTCCAGACGATATCTGTATCGGCCAAATCCACCAATCAAAAGCAGTGATGATTCTCCCAGAGTGCACATGGCATGATGTCTTCTAGGTGCTCTAAGCTTTCCCACTACCCTCCATGTCTTTTCAAAAGAATTGTAACACCAAATCTCCATCATCCAAGTGTTTTTCCCTAGCATATTTTCCCCTCCACTCACAAACATATTCTCTTCTAAAAATAACGGTATCATATTTAATACAGAGTATTAGACAACATATCATATACCGGTACATTTTTTCAATCTAAATAATACAAACCTACACTTCATCTGGAATGCTCTTTTTTAAGTTTTTAAGTATTTGCAGGAATAGTGATATAATATCTTATCAGTAATTTAACTCTTTTTGCATAACTTGTATGAACTGCAAACCCTATGAGGGAAAAATGATCTTTCGAGCTGTGCAGTTGCCAGTGAATTTAGAATAAAAATTGTTGAAAGGTCAAAGAAAGATAATCATTACTTGCATCCGATCATACATAATAACGAAAGATTTGCTAATGGCATTAATACCCTTAAAAGGACCCAATCAAATCATGGTGAATTTCAAATACTGCATCCAGAGAAGTATACCTCTAAGTTTAATTTAAGATTAACCAGAGAGTTGTCTGATGCAGCATTTGGAACATGCACAACATGAAGTAGCCACAGAGGCATCATTTCTCCAAGTTTACGGAGGAATGCCACACCAAAATTTTATTTTATAGATCTTTAAGACATCCCTGATAAGTAGTGGTTTCAGCATTAAAAGGTCAATATTAGCTCTCAATTATTTAATAAGAATTTTTTTCCTATTTTTCATAGAAAATGAAAAAAATGTTCTATTTGCTAATAAGATGCTTTAGGGTTAAAAATTTGCTGTTAATAAATGCATAATATGAATGTCTAATAAAATATGATAATAAAGGCTGGATAGACATTTTAATTTTTTAAATAAAAAATAATTCATGAAAATAAAATACATAATTTGTGAATATTTTTTAAATCTATGATTAAAATCTTCATAATACTAGTCACAACTAGGGAGAATATCTTATGCAATCATATTTTAAACAGAAATTGAAATGAAATTGCAAAATTTTAAAGAAATTAATTTTTTTAATTTTGGCCAATCCCAATCAAAATTTAAACTGATCCCAACCAGAATTATGTAATAATTGGAAATAGATAACATTTTTAGAAGAGTACTAGTTTGTTTAGGTGTAATACAGGTTATAAAGTAATTGAACTTGATAATCAAATAGATTCCTCAGTGGTAAATACAAAAAGAAGGAAGTGAATTATTATTTTATTTATTTTGTGTTCATTTTGATCGGGATCAGATTAATTTTGGGGGATTGGTCCAAATATTAAAACAATTATTTTCCCTACAATTTCTAAAGTTCATTTCAATATCTTTTTAAAATATGATTGACTAACATATTCTCCCTAGTTGTGACTAGTTTTATTAAGATTTTAACCAAAGGTTTAAAAAATATTCACAAATTATGTGTTTTATTTTCATCAATTATTTTTTATTTAAAAAAATTAAAATGTCTATCCAGCTTTTATTAACATATTTTATTAGACATTCATAAAATGCATTTATTAATAGCAAATTTTAAACCATAAAGTATCTAATCTGCAAATAAAATATTTTTTTCACTTTCTCTGAAAAAATGCAAAAAAATTTGTATAAAATAATTAGAAGCTAACATCGGTCTTTCAATGCTGAAACCATAGTTTAAAATGGAATTCTTAATGACCATTTAAATAAAATTTTGGTGTGGCATTCATCCTTAATTTTGATATCCCCAAAGATTAGCTGAAAAGTGACCTAAACCAAAAGAGTAAAAATGTATTAACTGTTTCAAGAGACACTGAAATATTAAATCTGCATTGGATGTAGCATCTCATTAAATATTCAAAAATGCAAAATTTTGGATTGGATAACCCCTGAGATAAGAAGAAAATGACCTAAAAGCATAACATATCCTTGCATATACAGATAATACATGCAGATGGACAAGGTAAGTCAAGTATACTCCCCTCTCCAACACACACAAACAATTTGTAGCAGGGGGCATAAAAAAACTTCTCAGCTTATAAAATTAAACAGACCTTGGACACAGACACTGTATCCTTTTTTTCCTATCAAAGCATCATGGGATACTAAGCATCCATCAGGTGTGTCAGCATAGTGCACTGTTTGACATGTATCTACATCGTAAAACACGATCTGTCGAGGATTGGATATGGAATCCCTTCCATCATCTTCATCAGAATCACTCTCCAAATGTACACCTACAGAAACAATCTGATGAGGTGTGAAGCGCCTCTTCTAGATTAAAGATGAAAATATAGCAGAATGAATGGGTTTTATTGTAATAAACATTTAAGAAATAAGGTATCATTTTTAAACATGCATCTATCAGGATATAAATACAAAGGGCTTTATGGTTAATTTGATCTCGTACCAACCCATATTTATATCCCTATAGATGTTTTAAAATGATACCTTATTTCTTATATTTACATTTGTGACTTATTCATATTATATTTTTCGCCTGATTATAACCTTTAACGCGTGAAATGTTTTATTTTTTCAAACTCAACGGCACGAGTTTGATCTACTGATTGCACTCAACCCTTTATGACGTCACTGAGAAATTACGTCAAACGTTTATGACGCGAGAAACCCGTGTTTATACGGATATAGATACACGTTGCTTTTAATAGTGTTATTTAAAAGGAAACATTAGCAAATGTAAATATTATAGATTTAAATTTGTCTCAATCTTTAAATTCAATCATTATAGTGAATAAAGCAACTTTTCATTTAAACTGCATTTTTTAAGTAAGTTAAGCCATGATCATGATGATCATATTAGCAATTTAGTATTATAAACTGCTGATCCAAGGCAAGTACAATAGATTAATATTATTTGATCACCCTTTTGTGATTCTTTGCTGCCACCAGCCCTGACTTAACATCACTATTACAGTCCTCTATGATATCTGGATTCTTCCCCATCATTTCCAAGTCTTGGTCAGTACAAAAATCTAAGAGACTGGACTCCAAGAGAATCTCTGATAACAAATGAATTCTCTCTGACCTTCTGTGGTTAATCCAACACATCACAGCTTTTAGGGTTTCTATCTCACATTTAACATTTAACTGAGAATCACTGATGATTTTCTTTAAATCAGAAACTTCCATTTCTAAGAATTCATCTTTTTCAAGCAACTTCATGATATTCCAAAGGACATAAAACCTGGATTTTCTGTATGCCTCTTTAAGGTAGATGTTGTGAGCAAATAACATTGTAGAGATGCAGTTGTCAGCATTCAGGGATTCCTATAATAAACAAAACAAAATGGTATAAAGTATAGGACAGTTAAAAATTTTTAGAAATATATATTTCTTTGAAACTTTATAATGGCTAAATTTTTAAACCCAATAGTTATTATAAGATGTTTTTCCTATACTATTAATATTAAATGTATTAAATAAAAATTGATGTGAAAAATTAAGATACCTGACTTTTTAAAAGACAGTATATAAATAAAGTGCCATAAAAACATCTATAAAATGACTTAGATTTCATAAAAAAATTCATCAAATATAAATTAAAATGACTTTTTTTCCCTACCAGCAGATAAAGGCTGCACTTTTCAATCAGTTTAGGTATCTGAAAATGAAAGTTTAATGCCTCTAGAAAGACCTGATGAATACTGTTTTTATCATATTTTAGATTTTTTCACTGAATTACCAGCTGAAACACATATAACATAGTATATGTAAATTATGTAAATGTCAATACTTAGGAGCCCCATTTTAACAAAAAAATTCATATGAAAATAGTACAAGTGCAATTTTTTCTCTAAATTAAAAGTCATGTACATAATAAAGTTAACCATTATGTATATCTCTATTCTTCTTGTAACTGTGCAAGCAATGACTGAAAAGTTATCTCGTGAAATCAACATTATCAATTGAAAGTGTAGATTTTCATAAGAACCTGATATTTGCAGGCCAGTTCTGCGACCGTGTGAATGTTCTGTGGGGACAGTTGTATCCTACCAGTCATACAGAAGTTTATGACAGCTGACATGGTTTCAATGTCTGCCTCCTTCAGCTGAACACAGTCCGACATAGCTTCCTTCATGTTGCTCTGAAACATGCCTCTAAAAAACTCACAGTTCTTCATCATTTGTAGCTTATTACATCGGAATTCCACTCCACTAACCTTGAGCCTTAAATCATGTTCACTTTCATCTGGGAGATGATGTTCTACAACAGTTCCATTGTTACATTTTTCATTGTTAAAATGCTTTGCATTGTTTTCCATGTTAGTTCAACGTCACTCAGAAAACATTAGAACTCAATGATGCATATTCTGAACACCTCTGCAAAGAAATCAGAAAATGGTTGAATTGAATTTAAATAACATAATTATATCCTTGGTCAAAGTGGATGTACTTATCAAATGGTGAAAAGCTCAAATTTCATTTCTTTACCTTTTCATATGTATTATAAGAGAATTATTTTATGTGAATACATAAATATGTATAATAAATAAAATTTAATATAACCAGGGGCATAAACTTGACATAACTGTAACATTGCTTTCTCTGTTCTGTTATTTCTAAACTTTTTTTTCTTTTTTTTTCTGCCGATTTTCCTCCATTGTCTACTTCTCCATGTGCTCCAGTTCTAAAAACAGCACCACACAACGTTTCATAAAAACGGGAGATAACTCTAAAACTTAGACTTGGTGATTAGTGTTCATGTCCATTTTGTCAGAAAGATAAAAAAAAAATTATATTTAAAATAGGAGCAAGAGGAATTAATTAAATGCAAGGGGATAGGAAATTACATGTGTAGAGGAAAATTAACTTGAAGATATTGATAATCAGCTGATTGACTCTAAAATGTCAAGCTTCACAGTATACAGGTACATGTACAACGACCGTGTTTGTTTAGCACAGTCCACTTTCTCTCGACGTGCGCCATGCCAGTCATAGCATAAACACAATTAACTACTCAGGTCATTAAAAATTAAGTGTCAGTACTGAAATGCAATAAAAATATAATCATGGTGGCCGCTGATTTTAACCACGGTGCAGCTCGTTTAACCATGGCACACATAAATTTAACCATGGTGGGCCACCATGTTAAAACCCCTTGTGGAAAACCCTGAATTTGGGTCAGCAAGGTTGGTTTTAAAAAGTAAAATCTCACCACATGATGGCATTTTTCTTGTATATTTTCTTTCTTAAAAGGGTTTTCTGCAGAATTTAAAAACCATCAAGTAAATTCTATATTCCTGTTTACGGGATTTTTTCTTATTTCTGTTAAGAGAAATGATTCCGTTTCAGGGAGATACTCTCTCTATTTGGGAAACCTGTACAAGAATATTTCCAGAGATTACTAAAACTAGCTTATTGTCATTCACAAAATAGAATTCTCTTACAATCAACATTTTCAAGAAAGCTCTTTCTCTCTCTCTGTACATATTCCTATGCATAGCCACATTTTACAGGCATAATGAAATGTAAATGTTACGTTAATTCAATAATTATTGCACACCACTATCAGTTATTTCTTGAATTCTCCGCTTTTTCAAACTGGAAACTCAGAGCAAATCACTAATTTTAGAACCGAAAAGAAATCCGGAGGAGTGGCAAAAATCCGTCAAATAAAATTCTCTTTTGAAAAATTAACAGTATGGTTGCACGGGCGCTTGTTTCGTATATAGGATCACCCCCTTCTTTTTCTTTCCACAAGATACATGTACCTAACAATTTCAGTCACCCCGGCTTCAAGCTCGTATTTTGCTAATTTTAAAATAAATCAATCATTAATTAACCTACTTTAAAATGACATCGATCCTTCGCTTCGAGAGAATTTTTTCTAGTCAAATAAATGCTTTCAGTTCCCAACCGTGAAAAACCTATTTCTTAACAGGGGTCCACGTTTTCTAGTTGGTGTGGGGTTTCCAAAGTCTTTTTTTTTTTTGCTTCAATATATACTTAAATAACTCTGAAAAGGGGGAGGGGGGCGACCGCGCATGCTTTTCTTTTATCCTTAAGCGGGGGATACTAATTCTCTAAATTAGCTTATATTTATAAACTAAATAACCTTGTGTTTTGTGACATGTGCAGGGGAGCTAGACCCCCGCATATGTCACAAAATAAAAGCGGGGGTTAAAGTCAGAGAAATCTCAGCCTGATTAACTGGGATATGAAAAATATTTTCAAACCCCCAGTTTGTTATCTCAAATGCAGATAAATATTTTAAAGAGATTCGTTATTTCGGTTTCATTGCATTGTTTATTTTAAAAAAGTTTCAATACTTTACAATTCATTCTAGAAATAACATTTATAAAGTACAAAGAATTTTAACCTACTTTATTATAAACCTGTTATGAGCGATCATAGCAACTGTTTATCTGTAAATAGTAAGAAATTCACAAACATTTTAAACTCAATGCTTAGCCAAAAGAGCGAAAAATGTTTTCTTATATTTAGGAATTTAACAATAAATCATAGTAATTAAATTTATTTTACTTCCTTTGTAATGTATATACATGAAGTTTTTCTTTTGTAAAGAAAAAGAAGTCATGAAGATTTTTATTCTATAGTTTTTGTACATTTTTTTTTATAAAATTTATACATTTTTGATTTTTTTTCTGCACATATCTCGGCAAAGCTGAAGAATAAAAGTAAGTCACATATATATGTACTTGTTATTCGGGGATTATTTTAAATTAAAAATAAAAAAAAAAAATCTTAAAAAGGAAAAAATAGGATGTAGATACGGACATCGCACGTGATTTTTATGTAACGGCTTAAGGGATTTTCCCCTAAAAAATAATTACATGTAGTCATGTGCGTGGTCTCAGAAATGTTTGTTTTCAGGATACGGAGGATGTGGCTGCCTTGTGTAAGTAAATCCTTAATAATTTAACTTGCTTATATAAGGAAAGTTATTTATAAAGTCTGTTTTTATGACATGCATGACGGTATTAGATTAGTTACTACAGGTAACTGGGTAAGCGCAATTAAAGAGTACATATTTGATATATATTATAACATGTTCTCTCTCTCTCTCTCTCTCTCTCTCTCTCTCTCTCTCTCTCTCTCTCTCTCTTTATTTAATAAATTTATTTACATGTATTTATTTATTTATTATTTATTTATTTATTATTATTGTTTTTTTTTTTTTTTTTTTTTTTTTTTTTTTTTTTTTTTTTTTTTTTTGCATATGCCCATATGCAAATATTTGTTCATTTACTAGTTCTTTTTTTTTTATTTATTCACCTATTTAAAAAAAAATATCATTACATTTATATTATTTGTCATGTAACAAGGGCAAATGTTTCCTTGAAATTGCTTAAGTTTACTTACTTGAAAGTGAATTTAAGGAAACGGATAAATGTTGGAAAAACTTGTTTCCGAATATATTTTTAATATAAATTTTCAAAAAAGTTATTTGAATTCACTCCATATTAAGAGCAACATAGGGCAAATTCCAGAAAGTAGTTGTGAGGACTAATTATCATATTATGTCTATAAAGCATCAAAATTTTTAAGCATATAATTTAAGGACGTATCCCACTTTTTGCATCACAATGATTAATTATCTTTTTTTTTTCTTATTAGCACACGAGATACAAAATAGTTTAATGCGTGCATTTCAATAATTAACAGTGACAAGCACGAGAGTATTTAAAGAAGACATGTCTGATGTAAAAGAAAACAAATCCGGACACAATAGAGGAATGGTAAGGTAGAAATTTCTTTATAATAGTACTTCATTCTGATTATCAGATTCTTTGATAATCTTAAAATGGTTATATTTCCCCCCAAGATTTCTTTTCGATATGCTATTCCCTAAAAACACTCAAAATGCGTAAGTGTTTGTGTTGTTTTTGTTTGTTTCTTTTCTCTTTTTGGCGAAAGTTAATTTTGTCGTTATAGAATAAACGAGCACTTGCACTGCTACTGGCCCTAGTTGTACTGATTGACCATGTTCAGGAGTCAGAGGCGGGATGGTTTCGCCGAAAAGTGGTAGACAAAGTGAAAGATTTCGGAAAGAGAGTGGTTAACACTGCTAAGAATGTAGGGAGCATAGTCAAAAGTGGTGCACGAGCTGTAGGAGAAAAGGTGAAAGAAACAGCGAAGAAAGTGAAAGACAAAATCGGATGAAGACCATCGAAGACGAACAAATGTCATAAAAAATGCCAGAGGATTCAGAGCAGCAGAAATAGATTTTACATGTATTTGAAAAAAAAAAGAATTTGAAGAAAATATGTAACAATAAAATTTTAAACAGAACATTTATTTGTGTATGTTCTATTTGACCTCTGAATTGAAAGGTGTTTCTTTTATGTAATAGTGCTGTATTAATCTTTATTTTGGCAATAAGATACGATATCTAATCAAACAAACGATTGAGTACTTGTATATGTCGTTTATATAAAAGCAAAATAGCAATTAAAATAATCTAATCATGCGATAAATGTATTAGGAATAATCGAGGAAAAAAATAAAATAACAACATGAATAGTGAAACCAGCGATATATAAATATATACTGCGAACAAGAATGTTTCGTTGTCTAGAGAAAAACCATCCGAGTAACCGGTTACTTGATCGGTAAAGCAAACGAGTAACCGGTTACTAAAAATCGTCCGATTTGACTATTTGCTGCACAGATCTAACCGGTCGGGTCTAAGATCCACTGAAACAAAGTTGCCAAGCGGTTTTGGTGTATTTTATTTATGGCATTATAACCTTATAAGATTATAAAACACATGTTCCAATATACTTTCTTCTTTAGAACAATAGCTAGGAATGGAAAATCCCCATGATATGAGTGAGTTACAGGAACCAGATATGATTAAGTGGTACCTGATATGAGTGATTTAATTCATAAACAGTATATATTGTAATAATTTGTAAACCTTTTTACTTTGGAAAACTAAGCTATGGGCTTGATTTTGAGAACCCTTTGGCTGGCATAAAATCTTATTACACTTGTACGTAATCCCCCTTATAGAGAAACTCACAGAATAAAAGTTCTAGCGTCTTAACAACACTAATTTCAGCCCTAACAGTTCACAGTGAGGCAATATCTTAATAAAAAGGGGTCGAATCACATTCTTTGTTTTGTAAAAAATGGTCAAAATACAAGAATAAGAGCTAAACTTACCTCCGAAGCGAATGCAGAAATTCCTCCAACGCATATCAAGAAGCCCCGATAACGAATTCCTTTTCATATCATTTGGATATGAGTTAGAGCGATTGGTGGCCGTGACTAAGTGATATGAATCTTGTTTTTGAATGCTCG